CAATTTAAGGGGTACACTAATCTTCGCTATAAGCGATAAATTGGAACGAATGAGTATTATCAATAATAAATAACTAAATAGACTTTAAATAAAAATACACAAATATGCATCATCCCATATTTATTAAAAAATTTATCACTTTTTAATTTTATAATCCTAATAAAATTACTGATTGAAAAACATTTACATTAATAGAATTCAAATAAACATAAAAATTTATATAAATTCCTCACTCTTATCAATTTTTCTAGTATACACTTATACTGTACTAATCTCATAATTTCACATTAGAAAATTCATTTTTACCAAATTTACAATTAGATGGCAGCATAATACATTTTAAGCTAACCAATATTTCTTTGAAAAAGCACAAAAAATCTTATTAAAGATCTTGTTAAAATAAAATAATTATTTTCATTAAATCTCAAACTTCTGAATTAATCTTGAACATTTATTATCTTCAAGATTGATGATTCATTTTGCTTTTTTCTATTATTTTCATAAATAACATAATTGAGTCTAAAGAATTTTTTCAAAAAATTTATATGAATTTAACTCCTTTGATGTTACAGTTGATGAAAAAAGGGATCTTAAATAATAAATTTCTACTAAAAGATTAAAAAGAGAATTTATCTATAATATTGTTGTTATATATTTACAAGAACTTTCAAATTAAGAAAAAGATTATCTTTTTATATTAATTAAGAAGAATGATACTTCTATATTTAAAGATTTGATCTTCAAATATCCAAAAAAAGGGAGGTAAGTATTCATTTATATTTATAAACAAATTTAAATTTTGATACATAATTTATTCTATACTTATATTGTTCATTAAACAATACATAATGAGCTTTTATCTGCTACTTTAACTTTATTTTCATTTTCATTCCCTTTTTATTATATATGTTTATTTTCAGATAACTAATATTATTCTTTGATTGCTTAGATTATTATCTATCTCAAAAGTACTTTTTTGCTAAATATTTCATTTATTATCATATCACTATTTGCTTCCAAATAATTTAAAATAATCAATGCATCTTCAGAACCTGCTGCCAAGTAAATATTATCTCTGAATTCTTTATCTTCTTCTTGCAACAATTAATCTGCAAACTTTATAAATCTTGATTTTGGTTTATAAATCAAATTAGCTTATTAATCTTTACTTAATTCTAAGCTTGCAATTTATATCTCTATTTATAATTGGCCAGGTACTATGGAACTACATTTTAAAATATTATTTAGTTTTCTTAATCTTCTAGTAAATTTATGCTCTTTATGATTTTCAAATCCAAAATCGAGAGCAGCATAATTATGGTAAAAGCATTTCCAACAATAGGTAATCGTCCAAAGATCTATGATCCTGTAATTAACATCTTTTGAACTACATTTAGAGTATATTCAGACTTACCTTCGATTATGCCATTTTTATTAATTTAAAATAGGTTAGTGGAATCTATTACAT